ATTAAATTTTATAGTTGTATTTAATCTATAGTGATGTATTATCTAACCAAGCATGTACTCTATATAGTTTGTTTGATTCTCTTTGTAGGTTCCATTTTTGTATTTGAGTATCATCAATTTTTATTTGAGCTTGTTGAATTAATATATTTTCAGCATCAAGGCTTAACATTATATCAACAGAGGGTTGTTTTCTTATTTTTTTTATAAATTTTATTACATTTTTTTCAACCCTAATAAGTCGATGATCTGTACTGTATCTACTTGAATCAAATAAAGATTTAACTTCTTCACTCATGGACTGGTTAACATAATAAAAAGGTACTTTAATTTTTTCTTCTTTATTTTCTTCTAAATCAATACTAGATTGATTCATATCTAACTCTACGTCTAATGACCACTTACTAGTAGGTTCATTTAACTAATCTGGATCTGACCACCGAAGATCATTATTTTTTAATTTATTTGGAATACATTCCATAGATCCTATATCAGCCGGATTATCTTCTGATGGCACAAATCTAAATTTTAGTCCTAAATCTTTTATTGTCTTAACACGATTATATATAAATCTTTGTTTTTCATCAAGTTTTGTAGATTGTAGCCAGTACAGGACACATTTAGAATCAGTTCATGCTGTTAATATTGTTTTGTCCAAATTTAATTGTTTTCTGACAAATTTTATTATTTTTGCTCCTACCTCAGCTGCTAATAACTCAGCTTTAGGCATTGTTATAAGTTTAATAGGCATTAATCTACTCTTTGCATACATGATACTAGAATATTTAGTATTTTCCACTTTTACTGTTGCATACACTATAGCTGCATATCCATTTTTGGAACCATCAATAAATACATGTAAGTCCCAATTTCCATCTGATGGAACTTGTCTATGAGCAAATTGAGCAAATTTGAAAGGTTTTACTAATCTGTTCCATTCTTGCATTAAACTTGATCCTAACAACTCATCCCACTTATAATGTCGTTCCCACAACTTTTGACAAAATTTTCTCAATAGTGAAGTAGTAGAACTTATTGATCCCAACGAGTCAAATTGACTAGCTATAAATGACAAAATATTTCTTTTAGTGCCTGGTTGCCCTTTCCAGGATTTAAATTTTATTTTTATAATATCAGTCTGGGGTTTCTAATAAATTCCTAATACTAATATCTCGTCATTCATATCTCTATCTTCTATTGGCATATTACTATAACCATAATTTGAGT